GCTTGGCTACACATCAGTTAGTGGCACTTATTTTTCTCGACTTATTTTGTTCACAGTGAAAGTGGTAGAAGGTTTTTTCTTGCATAATTCCCTTTTCTGAGATATAGTGTCCATTTATATGATCATTTTTTTCGTTTTTTAAAAATTATTCCTGTAATTGGTCTAGATTTTAATTTTCTGAAAAACTCTTTTGAAGGAAAATTGGTACTACCAATCGTGGCATTGGGCCCACATACTCTTCGAAATGTTTCCGTAATGGAATACGGGTCGCAGATTTGATGGGTGATTTTGAAGAATTTTCAGAAAGGTGATGATTCTGCATACATTTTTCAGCTAGCATGAGACCTGTGACAGGCTTTTTCAAAGGATATACAGTTAACATTTAGGTATCTTCGACTTGTTGAACACTATAAGAAACAATTTCCTTCCATTGACATAGACACTAAAGCAGAACTAGCTAAATTCAAGGTATTATTTGAAATGTTGTTGTTTTGTTTAATTTGCGAATCTTAATTTTTGCTCTAGGAGCACCGTGAAAAGCTCATAGAACTAAATCTTGTGGGAGATAGTGTTAGCCGCCTTCATGAGTTGAGGAAGCAGGGACGTTCTGTTTTGGTGGAAGGAGCGAATGGAGCTCTTCTAGACATCGATTTTGGTACATATCCATATGTGACCTCGTCGAATGCCACTGTTGGTGGAGCCTGCACAGGTCTTGGTATTCCACCGACTGCTATTACTCAGGTATGGGATTTAACATTCTGTTCCGCTGTTATAATTCGTTTAGTTGCAACCTTTATATAGGTTTACGGTGTGGTGAAAGCCTACCAAACCCGTGTTGGCACTGGTCCTTTCCCCACTGAGCTCAAAAACGAAGATGGAGACCGCTTACAGTCTATAGGTCAAGAAATTGGTGTTACCACGGGCAGGAGGAGGAGGTATTAATTTTTTGGTGCTTATGTTTTTGTTGACTATCATATAATCGTCAGATGCGGCTGGTTGGATCTGTTCCTGCTGCGTCGTAGTGCTCAGATTAATGGATACACAGCGGTTGCACTCACAAAGCTTGATATTTTGGATACATTCAAAGAAATCAAAGTTGCCGTTGGTTATCGTCTAGATGGGAAGCCCATTCATGCGCCACCAGGTCAGATTGTTGTTT